CGGTGGGGGCGCGGCCGGCACCCCGGGGAGCCACTGGGCAGCAGACAGGACTCAGGGCTGCTGCCAGTTCCTCATGGCTCCCTGTCCCCATGGGAGCTCTGCTGCCAGGCAGAGCTCCTCACAGGGGCTGCAGGGGTCAGGTCAGCCACTTCACAACCAGGCATCTACATGCAACTGCCTGCCATCAAGGAAAAGAGAGAGGCTCATGATGCTTTAACACACCACGGCAGTGGGCAGCCTGCTGGGTCAACCCAGTGCTGCCAGGGATGAGAGAGAGGAGGGATCCCAGAGCATTGTGGAGCAGTCCCCTCCCTTGAAATAGTCCAGAATCACTGCAGAGAGATAGTGAGGGCAAAGCTCTTGGCCTGGAATGCCAGCCAGGACTATTTTTGTCCCCCTCTGAAACCAGAGTCAGCAGCACCGAAGGGGAGAAACAAAGATCCTGCTGCTCAGGGATGTGCCGAGGCAGGAGCAGCTAAATTTAGCCTCAAGGAAGAAGCAACTGTGCTGCAGGCTCCCCGGTATGAAATGGAGGCTGATATAAACAGCCCTGTGCAAAACAGCCCATCTCCTGCCTGGAGAAGAGGGCAGGAATCTGCCCCTGGGACACAGCTGCTCCAGCAAAAATAGGCAAAGTGTCCCATGTGCAGGCATGGCTGGGCAACTCCTGGGTAGGCTGCAGTCTGGGCAGGGCTGGGCCCTCAGCTCTGGCTGGCATGGAGACACAGAGCCACTGTCCTCCCGGACACTCGGCTGGGCACACTGTGCACACCACCTGGTCACTTCAGCAGGGAATCAAAACAACAGGGCAAACCTAATTCTGCTGTCACACAGCAACTCCTTTTGACATCTCAGCGTCATCGAAACTTCTGGTGTTAAATTTTAGGAAGTTTCATATCTCAGTCATGCTTTATTAAGAGCTTGAGCTTTAAATTAAATGGTGCATGAAAACACAGCATTATATATATAATACACCACATACACACACCAGCTCCTACCCTGTCCAGTACTACAGCCAGGGAGAGCACTTCCCATGGCAAACTAGTATATCACCCTCCAAACTTCAAATGAGGTGATTTATTTCCAGCTCTGCCACAACTGTATGTAATTTACCATCCCCAGTTCACAGTCAATGTAAGTAGTGTCCTCACTCAACAGCATGTTGTAAGTTAAAATGTTTACTGTGTTTGAGATCACACTAGACTGAGACGTGACATGAACAGGCAAGGAGCTGTGGACATAAAATGCCTGCAATGCGTCCCTCTGCTGTGGAACATGGATGGCTACTGCCTGTGGGACAGCCCAGAGGGAGCCAGTGCTGGGACAGCATAAGCTTGAGGCTAACAAATCACTCTTCCCAATAACACTCAATTTACTCTTTTCATCTACTTCTTTCAAGAAGAACTCATTTTTTTGCTAAAAATACCACATGAGGTTTAGTTAAACTGACAGATTTAACATAAGCTCTTTCTCAAAGAGGCATGTGGATCAGGAAGGAGGCAGCTTGAGAAACACCTCAATTGGGGAACATGCTCATGTGTCCATGTTTTCATGCACTTATTTTTTTATGTGGAGCAACCAGTAGCATGAACAGCCTATAACCACATCTTCTGCTGCAGGGGGACCATGGTACAGAAGGAAACAAAACAGCAGAAATTGTTGAGAAGCTTCTGAAACTAAGAAGCAAGGACTGAACCATGTGAGACAATGTTCAGTGTTAATGGGAACAGGAAAGTCCTTTGGATAATGGGACATAGATCAGAACTGGAAAAGATATTGGAAGAAAAGAGAAGTGGCAGAGGAAACCCCTTGCTCAGAGGTCCCAGGGCCACGCAGAACAGGGTCGCAGCAGCTGCCACAGGGTACAGTGGAGGAAGACAGGAACATGCAAGCTGCAGGAAACTAGGAAATGAGGCTGGGGTTGTCCAGAGATGCTGAAGGTTACATGGGAACTGTAGGGATCACCCCATCTGAGAGCAGCTGTGGAGTTTTCCTATACCAAGATGTTTGGTATTAGGGATGGAGCATGAAAGGCAATGGTGGAACACAGAGCGTGGGTTGCAGAGCTCACAGGAGGACTAAGCAGAGGAAAAACAAGAAAAAATGGAAAACTATGTTTTCTCAAGAGCTGCAGTGAGAGGGGACAGAAAGAGGCTGCACAGTGGTACAGCCTTTGCCCATCACTTAATACTCTCCAGAAGGTGCCCCAACCAGCAAGTGCATGGACCTTCTGGGCACTTCCCAGTTTATTATCTAAGCCAGGCAGGGTCTAAACAGCAGAGAGAGCAGATCCACCACCCCAGTGGTGTCAGAATGAAGTCGTGGTCAGCAACAAAGGTCAGACACAACCCTTCTGCTGTGCACCCACTGTGCCTTCATTGTGATGCACTCAGTGTGGTACAAAGCAGGACCATACCTCTTTTTTCACCCGTGAAAGGAACCAAGTCTTCTCTGTCTTTAATGTCCTTTGCCTGCTTTTCTAGGTGAGCCATGAGTTCCTCCCTTTTGAATGGGCCAGTTGGTGGCTTTTGCGTCTGATCCCGCTGCCTGAGCCCCGCTGGCAGCAAGGCATTCTAGGCATGGAGGGGAGAAACACAGGTTATCTCTCTGCAGGCCACAAAACCCATCCATCAAATGCCTTCCCCTCTCCACTTTCCTGATTGCACTGCCTTTCTTACACAGTGCTGGACAATCTGTTTCTCCTTGTGTCAAAGGTTATCTCCATCCAACCTCACTGATTTCCACATTATCTAAGATGTGATTCTCCTTCCCCCTCAGATTTTAAATGCTGGCTTCACTACAACATCTCCATGCTGCCAAGTAGATGTTTCTCTACAATAGCAGCTCCTGCTCTTCCTCTGGGGGCTTTCAGTTATCACCCCCTGCTCCCCTCAGCCTCCTCCCCTACCCTCACCACAAACTCAACCAATTTTCTGCTCTCTATATGTGTCTGTCTGAGTGCTTACACACCCCATGTGTCTCTGCAAGAACAAGTTCAGGGAAATGCCATGGTCCTTCATAGAGCAGACCAAAGAGCCATGGAGGTCTCTTCTGCCTCTCACGAGATATTGCAAAACTACAGGCAGAGTCTGGCAGAGGTCACTCTATTGCAGAAGAAAACCCTTGCAAACTTCAGCCCTTTTCCCAAACACCTCCTTGGCGTTCAGCCACATTAGCCACCATGGGAAATTGCTTTGTGCGTGACAGACATGGCACATAAGCACCTGCTTATATATAAATATAGAACCGCCTTAATGCACTAAGACTATTCCCAGATTTGACACTAAGCATGTTCTTTAAAGCTTTGCTGGACAGAAGTCAACATTTGCTTTTTAAGGCATGCAAGGTGATTTTGAACAACATGCTAATTTGTCCAAAAGTAATTAATGAGAATTTAAAGCTGTATCAGTGAAAAGCCTTGGAAGGAAAATTATTAATAGGAAGCAATTGGACTCTGGCAGCCTTGTAGGACAACAGAGGAGAACTATGCTAATGGATAAGGAGGGAGGCATAAGAAATTGCTTGCTTCCTCAGGCCTCATGCTGTGAAGCAACTATCCAACTCTCTGGCTTTAACTCCTGTTCACAGGCTACACCTGTACTGACAGATGTTTGCAATTATTTTACCTTTCTGCCTCTTTCACAGAGCTGTGTCTTCTGAGGCAGCTGTTACCAGCCCATCAATTTATGTGGTTAATCCCAGGAGCTGGCCTGCCACCTCAATTATCTTCCTGTGTTGCAATTAAAAACACTGATGATGAAACCTACACTGCCCATCACTTCCCCCAGAAACACTAACTGCATGTTGCAGGAACAATTTCTCACTTGGCAGTGCCCAGCCTCGTGCTCCAACGTTGCTGTAACCCAGAGGCCTGCCAGCTGTGCTCTGCACATCCCCTGCCAGGGCCACCAGACAGCCTTGCCTCCAATGCACTTCCACTGCTTGGCACCAGCAGGGCCTGTGTTTGCACATGCACAGCTCCTCCTGATGCTGGGAGGTGGCTAAAAAGTAATAGTCTCATTTTGCCAGACTCTGGCATTTGGATTTTTGCCTAAATGGAGAAAAACACAGATTGTCTTAAGTCTGCTACAAAAAAAAAATCCTATCAACCTACAAAACCCAAAACATCCCCTCCAAGGTGGCCTGATCAGAAGCAAAGATCCAGTTTCTGCAGGTTTACTGCCCTGAACCAGCACTGGCTCACATCGATCCTGCAAATTACAGTGCTCATCACCCTACAGCAAGCACTCTGTGGGGCAAGAGCAGAGGAATATCACAAAAGCAAAGACTCCACATGTAGCCTGTGCTTGTGATGGCAAAACTGGTGCTGTTCACCCGTGGCCAGTCTCTTCCATCTTTGTACTGAGTACAGGCTCTGCAAAGGATCCCACTTAAACACAGATGATTAATGCAGCCCCATTCCACCAAAATTAATGAGATTTATCACCTAGCAAATCCCGTGTAGAAATTACTTACATCAGGATCCAGCTCTTCCAGTTCATTCTCTAACTTCCTGAGCTCCTCCTCTGTCAGAGCTCCAAGGATCTTGTCTTCATCCAGGTCTCGGTATTTTTCTAGCTCCTTTCTGTAAGACATCTTAGAGGAGTCTTGTGAATCTCACTTCTATGCTGAAACAGGACCTGAAATGAAAGCAAGAAGCGTTACACTGAATACATGAAACATGACACTGCAGCCTGGCTGGTCGGGGAATGCTGAACACCACAGAGTTGCGGAAGATTTATGTTTGGAGCTTGGCTGCCTTCAAAGCCAGGTCAGATTGCACAGGGCCCCCACATCCACATCCTACATGCGAGTAGTGGCCCATGGTCACAAGAGTCACACAACTTCAGTAGCACATTGCTCCATCATGGGCTTACAGGAACGGCAACACTAAGGAAGTATTTTGTTCTGGCTAGAGATGTCTTTCCCCAAGCAGTGCTAGGTGTTGACCAAGTGTCATAAGCATTTATTTCCCTACAGGTCAATAAACCACAAATTGTAAAGTCTGCAGCTCTCATGCCCTTACAAGCCCCCAGTGACACCTCCCTGCACATGCCACCCTGGATATTGTTGTCAACAGGCAGGAAAATAGATTTGTAGCATCACTGAGTACCTCTGAGCCCTGAAAACCTTCACCAGACTACAGTGCCTGGCACTCCTTCCCATGTTTTAAAGCCACAAGAAGATCAGGAAGTATTATCCACTCGTGTTCGGGAGGCTGCCAGTTATATGTATTGTTTAGTGACCCACCTTCCTGAAGACAACACGTGTCTGCACTTCTGAAAGCTAAGCAGCTGACCTGAGTGTTAGTGCACATCTAAACCAACCCTCCAAGTGGAGAAGTGGGAGTAACATACTAAATGACCTATTCGGATAATCCCTGCTGACCCAGGGGTTTGTCCTGTGTCTCCTAATATAAAATGCCACATGCAGTCACACACACATAACTGGACCTCTGCCAGCTCTAAGAGACTGTAGTAGACTTCTACAAAGCTCAACTTGTCTAAAATATGCTTAAAAATTAAGCATCTTTGAGTTATAAATACATATAATGAGTTAAAAATACACTCATTAGAATAGTGTAATTAATTCTACTTTTTTGCTGGAAGTTTCCTTCTGTTCCACAGTGTGGTCTGTATACTTACATTTTTGGGCTCAGTTTTTGCAGAGAATATTGAACTCTAGATAACTTAGAATTACTTTTCCTACAGTTTATAAAAAGTTTTGCTATTATCTCAAGTGACATTTACATTAAAATAACAGCAAGACCTGTGCATTTTTCATGGAGCCAAACATCCTTTGAGTTTCTACAAATGGTCTCTTTTCAGCTTCTGCAGAGCATCAGAGCCATGCCCTGAGTCACATCTCCCCAGCTTTGCCTGTCCTCTCAAGGCAGATCGTGCTCTTACAATTGCTCTTGATTATCAGAGAAGTTTCTTTATAAAACTTACAACACAGCTGCTGCTCCAGATAGGAAAATTATCTTTAGCTTGGTCACAAAAGGGCACATTAACGCACACATGGCTCGACAACAAGCCCTTAAATTTAGAGCCATCATCTGGTCAGACGTTTGGTTTCTCAATGTGTGATGGCAATTCCTGCATCACTCCCCCCCCTGCCACTCCACTTGGAAAGCGGAGGGCCAGGACATGGTGCCGCTTTGATGGGAGGAGGAGCAGCCCTCCAGGCTCCCACAGCAAGGAGCAGAGGGGTGAAAACCAGCTTTTTGTGGGGCTGGTTTGCTCGGTGGGGTGATAGCCTGGGGGCAGCAGGGTGGAGGAGGAAGCACGGACTGTGGTGCTCAGTATGTTTGGACAAGAAAGGCAGTGGTGCTTCCCTGGTCCCTTGCAGCAGGCAGGGCTCCCTGAGCACCAGAGCAATCGTGCAGAGGTCAGGCTAGGAGACACCAAAGCTGCCCTTCTGCTCAGCACAGAGAAAAAGCAGAGTCTTTATCAACGATTAACATTATCCAATGTCAATTACCCATTAATGAATGCTTTTCATTACAGCAATTATTACTACTCTGATGCCAGAGCTTCTAGAACAGCAGCCTGGACCTGGATCTGGAGATGTGCTGAACCACTGTGACCTTAGAGTGAAGTGCACGAACCATGACTATTTCATATTAAATTTTTAGTTTTGACTATCCTGCTGTGGAAGGAGCTGGAGCTAAGAGCAGGCAGGAGGGCAAAGAATAACTCACCTCAGGTTGCTAAATTCCCTGCAATGGCTTAAAATACCACACCTGCCATGCATGCGGCAGCCTCCGTCCTGGCTACAGGGGGACAGCCACAGCCCCTCTGAACAACCAGGGCAGGCTGCAATGGGTGACTGGGCTGGGAACAGAGTGCAGCCTTCGCAGGGCTGACCTTGCCACCTGCTGCCAGAAGGACAGAGACTGTCAGCGCCAGGAGGTGAAAGGCAGGACAGACATCGGATGTCAGGGCACACCGGCAACGCTTCTGGAAAACACTCCAGGCTTCAAAGCATCGGGGCAGAGATACGAAGCTGGGGCTGCATATAGCAAAGACTCCGAGGGTTGAGGACAGGTGCATAGCCTGCTGAAACATGGCTGAAATCCCCACGAGAAGACACTAGATGGCTGAGCGGACGGGAGGGGACAGTGGCCTCACAGCCCTGCTGGTGCCACCAGACAGCGGCACGGCTGGCGCGGCTCCCGCGGGGCGCAGCGTGTCGGGAGCACCAGCCGTGCCTGCACAGCAGGACATTTTGTGCTGCTCCTCTGCCACGCGCTGCGCAGGTCCAGCATCGCATCCTCCTGCACAGCCTCCAGGGCCTGGCTGTTCACTGGCTTTCACTTATCTGCACAGCCCAGGCCTCTTCTACCCTATCTTACTAATGAGTGTTGGGAGAAACAGCAAATAGCCCGTCTGCTGTAAATGGCAAGAGGGCTTTGTGCTGCCAAAAATAAGAAAGAACCTAATTCTGCCTGAGCATAATTGTTTTCATTTTTACAACGTGCTGAAACACCTACCACCACAAACAGCCCTCCCTGACCCACGCTACAGTTCAAGCATGGTTTAACCCAGGTCTGCCCCACACCTTAGCTCCAAAATAACAAGGCTGTCAAGCACAACTGCAATTTGACGTTCAAATTCTAAATCCACACACTTACGGACATTCAGGAAAGAATTCACCCTAATTCACTGCAAATCTGTTCCATTCAATCTATTCTCAACGCCTTCCTAAGCTGGGAAATTTAATTTTCTGCTATTTTTCATTAAACATACCAGTACACTCCTCATTCAATCACCAAAGGAAGCATCACCACAACATATATATGTAATACACAGAAGCTGCACAGAACTGACACTATTACAACTTTAAGTCCTCCACTTCAAAAATTTCAATTCATATTGACTACCAAGATAGCAAGATACTAGGTCTCAGTGTCCAAAGTATTTATCAGAGGCGAGAAGACAGCCTGAACACTGGCACTTGGTAAGTGTGAAGAGCACATAATTTGGCATGCATGAAGATCAACATACAGGTTCCAAGAGAAAAATTACATTGGATGGGAGATCAATATACACCATAGGTCATCTACAGGGAAGACTTTTCCTATCATAGAATCACCAAGGTTGGAAAAGACCTTCAAGATCATCAAGTCCAACTGTCTTTCCTACAATCTCTAAACAGTAAGCCATCTCCTGAAACACCATGTCTACCCATGTTTTTTTTAACACCACCAGGGATTACAGTGCCTCCACCACCTCCCTGGGCAGCCTGTTCCAATGCCTCACAACTCCTTCTGGGAAGAGATTTTTCCTAATATCTAATCTGAATCTCCCCTGGTGCAACGTGACCCCATTTCCTCTTGTCCTATTGCTGGTCACTAGGGAGATGAGGCCCATACCCACCTCACTACAACCTCCTTTCAGGTAGGTGTAGAGAGCAGTGAGGTCTCCCTTCAGACTCCTCTTCTCCAGGCTGAATAGCCCCAGCTCCCTCAGCCTCTCCTCATCAGACCTGTTCTCCAGACCCCTAATCAGCCTAGTTGCCCTTCTCTGCACCCTCCCTTGCACATCGATATCCCTCCTACATTGCAGTGCCCAGAAGTGCTGAAGGTGCAAAACAAAAACCAACATTTGTGACCATAAGGGGGGTGGAACAGTATCTTTCTGAAAGGTCCAAAACCGCTGCACAAACAAAAGGATGCTGCAGAACAAGTGAAAATTAAGAGTGTCCCATACAAAGGAAGTCTTCTTCTGCTGTTCTGCATCATACAGCCTCCCTGCAGCACTGTGCCCTTTCTGGGATGCCAAAACCTGAAAGCAGCACTGACCTCGGTGCAGGGAACTGGCAGGAACCCTGGGAAGGAGGCCCAGACAGGACCACTGTGTCCACGGCAGAGAGCTGGCTTGGAGATGCTGTCGTGCTCCTCAGGTGGGCAAGTAGGGTGGCCAGGAGCAGGGCAGCAATGGGCTCAGGGGAGCAGCACAGGAACCACTGAGTCAGAGGATCTACAGGATCATCCCTCAATGCTCTGACAACCCCAGCAAGAAAACAGAACTGGGTGAAGTGACAGAAGCAGCAGCGAACAATACAAACTCAAAGAAAACACAAAAATGCTACAGAGAGAACACAGACCCTGGCTTCCCCCAAGTGCTGGCCAGCACAGTGTGACAGACATCTCGGGACACCGGTGCTGGGAAGCCCAGCCCCTGGCTGCACAAACTCCCCTGTGCACTGCCACGCTGACAAACAGGAAATTACATCAAGCCTTTTCTTTCCACACTTGCATGGGGAGAAAGAGCAACTGACTTCAGCAAAGATCAGAGCTTTTCAGTGATCAAGTCTGTTACCTCTGCAAGGTGTCCCCAGTTGCAGCCACGGCTGCCACCTGCACAGCCGCAGCAAGGCAGGGGGTTGGTGCATCCTGTGCCACCAGCCACACCAAAGAGCCAGCTAAAGGCAGAGGCACAGGGGTCTCTGTATCCTCTGCTCCTTGATGAGAGCCACAGCAGAAGAAATTAACATCTCTCCCTCTCCCCCCACCCCAGCTACCCTCAAAGCTACTGGGAAACCGTTTCAGCGCTTTGAAATAAGAAAGCAGATCAAGGGCTTGGTCACAGCTTGGTCACAGAAGAGGGCCAACAAGCAACACCAGCACAGGTACCAACGATTTTTAGAAAAATCACCAAGTTTGAAGGCAGAAGGCTATTCAGGATGA